ACCAGATATTTGATAAACTACATATATATAACTTTAAATACATACATATGATAAATATATACACCCATAGTCATGGGTATGGGTAAATATATACACCCATAGTGATGAGCACGAATCGTACTCAGTCGAGTACGATTCGTGCTCATCACACAAATGAATGCCCCCAGCGGGACTCGAACCCGCGACCTCTGGCACATTAAGTAGGGTCACTACAAACTGAGCCAAACGTGTCGTCATTTTTATTCACGACGTTTCGAATGCTTTACAGCAATCATGGTCACGGGAGAGACTAGTCTTTCTAAAGATCCGAAAATATAGTTTTATTTAAGATAGACATCTATATATATGTACATACATAAAGCGAGGTTCGGGTACCATCTCCACTCCGATCACATTGTTCGAATAGGAAACGTGCTGCTATTCAAATTACTTTCCTTCAAAGGGTGTGTTTTGAAAGTTCAAGGATTCTCGTTTTAATAATATATTCCAGTATTTATATTTGTATTAACTACTTTTTACATATTTAGTTTTTAAGAGAAAATACGGACTTCATAATTTATACCACCACTATGGGTATGACAAGACATACCCATAGTGGTGGTATAAATTATATAGACTTATAAAGACATATGACCAAGATGATTATGCTGAATGAACGAACTTATTCAGTTAAAAAGATATTAATCAAAATCGATTCATGATTATTGATGTACATGTTTAATTAATAACATACACAAAAAATCAGGTATTGAGAACCTTATTTTTGAAGTGGATCATAAAGTCCAGAAGCCCAGAAGTAACGCGCTTGCTTGGGAAACCGGATGAAGTGGGTGTAAATCCCGGATCCCGCACCTTTGATACTTTAATGTGCGAATCATTCTCAACATGATTATCACTTACTGTAAAGGAAAACATGAATGTCTGAGAGAATCTAGTAAGTTTTCGAAATACATGTGAAGTTTACCAACCCGCACTTATCCAGCGTGGTGGAATACGACCTGATCCTCATCGTATTGAAGATAGGCCCGTGCCCAACAGTGGGACGTTTAAAACGTTTTCCGAGGTCGTTTGCCCGCTGACACAGCTCACACGTCTGAATTACGTGTTAAATAGTTTTTAAGGTTTATAATTAACTAGCATTACCCGCGGCTCCGCCCGCATTCAAATGACCAAAAACCAAATTCTTAGGTTATATATTAGTATACTCTTACATTACAGTTTTTGTATTTTTTCTCAGAAATGAGATATTTTTCCGCTGTAAAAAGTATCCTATATGTTGACCCGGATAATCAGCTATGACCATACCAAATTTCATCAAAATCCGTCCAGTAGTTTTTCTGTGATGCGATAACCGATAGACAAACAGACAGACATACAGACAAAAATTGTAAAAACTATATATTCGGACTCTGTATCGATAATAAAGTCTATTTCAATAAGATTTTCCAAAAAATATTCAATGTACAGATTCGGCTTGGTTACAATTTTATTATATGTATAGATATATGTTAGTTTTAAGGTATATATGTTATGGGTCTCTGTTTACATATTTAAGATCTTTTTGTAAATATTGCCTGAAATAAATGATTAAATAAAAATAAATAAATAAAAAATAATAGGGCTCAACGTACATACATATATACATACATTTTGATTAAGTCTGTTGTAATATGTGTATTAGATGATGTTGTGTTACAAAGTTAAGAGTATTATAGTTCACGTGTCATGCTGAGTAAAGGATATTAGAGTATGTAATAGACGCGACGAGAACGTCGCGAATGTAATACTTTCTTTGAAGAAGCTTTACTTGGAAGGATTACTGTTTAGTACTACTGTAGAAAGAAACGATGTTTTGTTTTTATTTTCAGCTAAAACGTATAGCTATGCTTAATAACATAGTTGCATAAAGTAAAATATCTACAGCTAACAGCTTTAAGCATTTCTGTGTGCTGAGTTATTTGAGCAGTTCTTCTAGGGACTGAGTCATTTTTACTAAAACTGCTTATTTTACCAAACTGATTTTATGATTTGAAAATAAAAGGTATTAATATTATTATTTATATTTTCTTCCAGTTTCCAGCTTACATGGCATAATATGTAAATGCATTTCCGAATGTTATAAAAGCCATCCTAAGTTGATAGCGTCAAATAGAAAAAATACGCCTAAAAATTAGCTACGATATAGAAATATCAGCATCAAATAAGCATGTACTTTATACCACCGATTCATAGAGGATAGATCAAATACTCCACCACTAAGAGATATTCGAGTACTGTTCAGTCTTAAATTATAATTTTCTACACTTTGGTGAACTAGCTCAAAGGAATACTACTCGTATTCCTACTAAATATAATAGAGTAAAATGTTCTTACAAACGAAATCTCCTCGCTACTGTGAGCTACAATGGAAAGTTTCATTCTTTATCATATGAAGAAGTTTTATTTGATTCTGTAAGCATTGCAAAATATAAAAATATTCACATATATTATCCCTTTACAGCAAATGTCAAAGAGTATTTGATTTAGTGCCTTGGTCAAAATTCGATAATAATTCATTAAGTTTCAACCTTTTTGTGGTCATTTAGAATGATATAATATATGCAATGGAAACTTGTATTCAGACTTTTTATAAATTTGAAGTCGTAGGATTTTGGCGTTACTTATAAATGTTATAAAATTATTTCACCAGATATAACAGTTTTAAAATCACTGTAAATATGATTGTCTACTATTCATTAAAAATATCAGATTCATGCACACACCAACCCACACAAACTCACACATGCACACGCACAAGCACGCACACACTAATGCACACCCACACATGTATAACTACGCACAAAATGGAAATTTACTGTAACATAATAAAACAAATGTAAACATTGTCTGATAACATTATTGGGTATTTAATGAAATAAAAGACAATAAATGCTTACGATCAAATCGCTTTATTCGATTGAGTATTTACGAATATTAATATTAATGTTTATGAAACATTCTGTAATTTTATATACATTCACTATACAATTTATTTTATATGTACAATATAAGATTTATGTAACAAATAAAGACATTTATGCTTTGGTTTAATATTGCGGAATCATATTATTAGGGAGATAAATAAAAAGAAATAGTAAATAAAATATTAATGGACTTTAAATGAACAAAAAATATATATTCCTTGTATGAAGGAGCTCAGTAACTCCTTCAAATTCCTCATATAGAGATAATTTGTGTTAACAAATGAGGCGTTAGCTAAAATAAATGATATTATAGTATGTACTACTATATGTCTAACTCAAATAAATTATAAGGGTATTATGGTATTTAGAATTATTTATGTATTTAAATATGCATTTTACATAAGATTATTAAGAAAATTATATCTGTACAGCCAGCCTTATAGTTCTTGTAAGATTTAATAGTTCTGAGTATTATTGTAACAAATATTACAATTTTACACACCCATTTAACTTATTTTGAATTTTAACAATAAAATTATTTTAACATTAACAAGGATATGTATCAGCTAGCCTTAATTATTTATATCATTATGAATTTATTTTAAAATAATAATAATCTTTGGTGCAAGTAAAAAAATCTTTTTTATATTTTATTTGAAGATATCTACAAAAAATGGTTTTTATCTATACTAATAATATAAAGAGGTCAAGTTTGTGAGATTGTGAGTTTGTGACGTTGTAGGGGGTAATCTCTAGATCTACTGAACCGATTTACATGAAATTTGGTAAGAAGATATTTTGAGATCCTGCAAAGGACATAGGATACTTTTTATCCCGGAAATCATGCTAGTGAATAATTTTGTACTGCTAATGGTGGAAAAATGTAGAAATGTAAACCGCTATTACTTGTTACGTTTATTATGTTTATTTTAGTTTACACTTTGTAGTAGTTATCTCGATTGCTACGGAGACCAATTAGCTGATTCCGTTTAGATACTTTAAAAACGTATCCTAAAGTGTGAGTAAATAATTTAGTTTTTATTCTGATTTACAATTTCTGATACACTTAGCCAAATAAATGTGTACATATTATTAATATAAAAACTGAATTATAAGAAACAGCTCTTAAAAAAAATGAAACTATTTTTTTCTTATTTCCCTCAGGATAGGTGATCTAGGATAATTAAAAAGAATCAACGACCAATTTCTACAAGATTGTCCACCAAAACGAGTGTTATTAAAGTGTATGCATCAATATTAGTATACCCTATACTCTTTCCTAGATAGTCTAATGGCACGACCGGACCGGAAGTTGTGATAAAAGATAGACATATTATGTAGGTCTTAACATTTAACGTACACTAATCGTGTAAATGAGGCTTGTGGTCAGAACACTACCTCGTTCCCATTTCTGCGTTCCTACAGTGATTTTTTAACTCAAACCCCCCTGAATTCATTTAATCCAACTGAGAATTTGAACTCTTTAATCGAACAATAACTTAGTCATATAGCCTGTATTAAACTTGTTCTTTAGAAACATTAAAGTATTTTCAATACAATAACATATTATGATTCATTTATTTACAAGCAAATAATACTTTGAACTTCAACACATATATGTATTAATATTAATTTTCTTTAATCTAGCATACACGAAGTTTTAACGTTAATTATTCATAATTCATCGCGACTCGTTATTTTGTACATGACTAGTTTACACAATCAAAATCTACAATTTAATAATATATGCAAATATACTCGAATTGAACTGACGATATTGAAAATCACGAACGATATTACAAATGTCATTTATTATTATATTATTTAACAATATAACTACAATGTTGAAGTAAATAAAACTAAAAGTCAAATGCTGTGTAATTTTGCTGTGAAAATATACTACAATGCGTATGCTAAAAGCGTATTTATTAAAGCTCTTTAAGTTTACACAAATTGAGATCGGATGTTTCTATTCACTGAGAGCGCACCGAGTCCTGGGTCAGAACAGGGTCGAACGCGCTCCCAGGGTGCCGGCTACCTCCTCGTCTTACAATATTGGCATGACAGAACTTTCTTAAAAGCCTGCCGAAATACTTTATTGAATATTGTGTAGAATATTGGATTAACCATCGAACTTGCGTATCCCAACCAAAGAACAAAATCGAAAACCCAACTCGAAATTCTTCTCTCGCATTCCGGGCAAACAGCTGGTACCATATTGAGAATAAAAAAGGGAGCCCAAAGTACAACGAATGTAAAGAAAACTACACCCAGCACTTTTGTTGCCTTTTGCTCGAGGCGCAAAATTCGTCCATGTCTAGATGAATTTCGTGAAATAACACTTGAATTTCTCGAATGATGTGTTCGGAGTTGTCTTTGGGGGCTGGGATTCACTGTTGGTCGATTATTAACTGATCTCTGACTTCGAATAGTCCTGACTGGTGTTGAAAGTGTAGTTCTTGCACCACCAAAACTCGAACCCCTCCTAAATCTTCTCGCTTCTTCCCAAGTTACCATTGATGATGCCCCACGACTAGACCTTCTAAAGAATGGCGTTGATGGCTCTTCGCCTTTCATATTGCCATTCCTGGGAAACCCATTGCATCCATTTATATCCCCTCCAGGAACTATAATAACTTCCGTTGTTCGCCTGGGTGGAGTGGAATCGGATCCAAAATATGGGCAAGTACATGGAGGTGGTAGTAAGAGACCATCTTCTGAACTTCTAGATTTAGTTGTAAGAGTTACTGGTGCTAGAAGACCATCATTGCTTTCATCATCAGATGCGCTTCGTGGTCTATTCATTGGGGTATTAGGATCGCCTGTAGATGAAAGTCTTCGTTTATCTTGGAGCATGGATGAAGGCGAGCTGGATGACACGCTTAATGATCCAGGTGTGAGCATGCCTCCACGTTCTGATATATTTGTCCTGAAAAGATAAATTCTTTGAACAAACATGAACGAAACGAACGAATATGAACATATTATAATTGGAAATATCTTTTATTTAAATATTATAAAGCGAAACACAGAACACAAATGTATTTAAAATAACAATTAAACAATTAAACACGAACAATTTGCATATAATTATGCAGTTGTCTACCAAAATAAACCATAGAGATATGTTAGTGGGATCTGCATGTGAAGCGTAAGGACAATTAAGGGTATTTGCATACTGACTGCACAAACGTCGTAATACGTTTAATTCTTATCAATACTTTAATAAACAATTATCATAATTTATATTATGTATTAGGAATTGCACAACCAGTATTTAATTTTGAGGCGAACTAATATATGCCAATTGTAATACCCTCGGTAAGTCGGTTTAGATGCAGCAGAAGCTTCCAAGCCTCGCGACAGTCGTAACATCTCTGCCCCGAAATGATGCAGTGCGCTCATGGCTGACGGAGCAGGCTCGCTGTGCAAATACACACATATGAACAAAACAACACACATAAAACACACACATAAGCAACATTTAAAGATATACATAGAAAGGGTCTATTCGCACTACAGTTTAAGTTTTTTACATCAATAGCATACGATTAATCATATTTTTCTATTAGTTCAATATAGAACAGAAAATAAAAAGTAATCGTACTTTGCTTTATAAATAAATAATAAATTAAGGGAGTTGTTGTACGCAGCAGCAAAAACATTTTATTACGTTTTAATGGAACACTGTAATAACTAGCGCAACGCCACTTTATTAATATTAAAGCCTCGCAAAGCCAGTCTAGACATCATATAAAGATTGAAACCATTTAATTTTGTTATATTAAACAATAAACAGATGAGATGAGATATCAGAGGAGTTCGACTGGCACTGACCAGTGAGTCTTTTGTTTCATATTCGATTTGACTAAACTTCTTCTTCAAAGCCAAAATTAAAAAAAGTTAATAAATTCGATTCTGTAAAGTTACATTTTTACAAAATATTCAAATATTATTGTACTAATGGAATTTTAAGACAACTATTTAAAAAGATGCCTATTGGATTACATTAACAAAACCATTTACAAACGCGTAGCATAACAATTTCTTACATTTTATTTTGTACGTATAAAAACTTAACCACTTTCACTCAATAAAAGCTATAGGAATCGTCATTTTTGTAACTAAAATAACGTTAACAGTAAAATTCTGTAGGATTTCATATGCGGCTGCACACAGTGAAGTAACTACCTTTAAGTATCGGGGAGAAACTATTTGTTAGATTTTATTATTATTATTATTAAATTTAATTGTATTCATAAATATAAAAACTAATTACTATGGATTATTGATCTGAAATAAATACTTATTATTATTATTATTTATTATTATTATTTATTATTATTGATGTAACTGAAGAGTTTGTTACAAATTAATTGCTAATAAATCGCTTTTGTTGCTTAAGCCACTTCCGCAAAATCACAAAATGCTATGTTTATGTAACGGTAGCAGGAAAATTGCAAAATGGAAGCTTATCAAAGTAAGTAGTACTTGCGTATTTGTTGATGCAAATCTGTGCCAAAAATTGTGCTGAGATATCAATTTTAATATTATTTTGAAAACTACAAAAATCTAATTGAATCATCGTGATTATTTTACTATAATATTGTATGGATTCGAGTTACATTGGTTATTTTTTATTTTTTCTATACTAATGTAGCTCGAAAGTATATTTTTATTTAACCGCACTCTGAAACTACCTAGATTAAAATAAATGTGCATTTAATAGCTTCTTTTTCATGGAAGGTTAGAGGCTATCAAAAACACGCTACAAACCTTGAGAGCAGACCAATTATACATAAATAATCTAGACGAGCAAAACCGCGAAAGAAAACTACACAGTACAATTATATTATAGTAGTTCTCATGGAATTAAAGTTTCTTATAAATATTTTTTTATTTTAAAATATAGGGTGCCTAGTTATAAATAATGGCTTGTATTCAGCCTTTTTTAAAGTCCCACTGCTGAGCACCGGTCTCTCTTCAATACGAGGGGGATCAGGCCATAGTCCACCACGCTGGCTAAGTGCGGGTTAGCGGACTGCACGTCTTTCTAAGACTTACTAGGTTCTTTCAGACATGCAGATTTCCTCACGATGTTTTCCTTCATTGTAAGACAAGTGGTAATCATGTTGGAAATTATTCGCACATGAAAATATCAGAGTTGCGAGACCCGGGATTTGAACCCGCTTCACTCGGTTTCCCAAGCGAGCGCGTTACCGTTGGGCTACCACTGCCTAAATAATTATTTAATACTCCATTATGCCAATTTAATTTTCAAAAATGTCTTACATTCTTTTAAAAGAACCAAGTGGTCTAAGAAAATAAAGTTAGTTTCTATGTTCATAAACTCAAAGTTCTGTTTTATTTTCTGGAAAGTAAAAATTAAAGCTAATATAATTTGCTTTTTATTAAACTGTAACTCATTATTGTTTATTAAGTGAAAGCTACAGATGTTTTATTTACATCATAATTGTTTGAAAAGTTCCACCGCCTAGAATTTATCTTAAATGTCTAAATCTAAATTTAAATTTCTTGTGGAAACTTATATGGGAAAATTATATATATATATCCATAAATAAAAAAATTTTTTGAAGATATTCTATATAATATGCAAATAATGTACACCTGAGTTGAGAACCTTCTCTTATTTTAAAGTTGGTTAAAAACGAATTCACAGAGCTCTCATGTTTATAGTATCGACCCTGCAAGTTTTATAGTATTCAATCAGCATGAAATAGTGGTCTACATGACCGTGCACTTACGCAAAGTAGTGAATAATAGAGTTCACCCAGAGGAATATCCCAAATTTTCGTGAAATACCACTATAATACTTGTTATATTACTTGATTGATTTTTAAAAAAGGAGGTATTGTGTGTGCAAATTATAATTAATATTATATTAAATTAATATTTTTAACAATAATTTATAAATGGAATTTCATGACTTTTATTAATTATGAATATAATAGTATGGTATTTTAATTTTTTACCCGATTGCAAATGTTCATTTCTGAAAAATGGCCAAAACTAAATAGCTTAAAATTAAAAAAAAACTATAAAGAAACCGACTGCATTAAAACAAACTAAAAGAATTAAAACATATTTTAGAAGTAGCATAGTATTATGTAGAGTCAGGTATTATATGTTTGTTACTTGCTGCGAGTCTTCCTACGTTTTTAATTATTATTTTATAATGCCCTAATTTCCTTTATCTATATATTAAACTAATATTATAAATGTGAAAGTGTGTTTGTTTGTTTGTCTTTCTTTCACGTCGAATTGGCGTGATTTTTTGTGTGGAGATAGTTGGAGGGTTAGAGAGTGACATAGGCTACTTTTTATCGCGGAAGATTATCTCATTCCTACGGGAAAACACGTTACAATACAATCCAAAAAAATATTTATAATCAAAATTATTTGAAACTTGGTATTAATGCTTTTCAATATAATTAAATAAATACGTGTTTTAGCATTTTTCGAAATTCATCCCATAAGGGGGTAAAATAGGGCATGAAAGTTTGTATGAAACCTACCTTTTCAGAGTTTTTTGTAATTTTAGCGCGAGAAAAGCCGCGGGTTCTGCTAGTATTTTATAAAACAAAATCGGGTTTGTTCAACATTTATAACTCGAGAAATGCTGGACCGTTTTTGATGGTTTTTGATTTGTTGGATTTGTCTCTGCCTTGAATAGCAGAATATATTTTGTATTAAAACATCAGAAAAATTCACGAAAATAAAAAAAAAAGTTCTATTCCATATTATGCGTCAAAACGTACCTGGGGACGATAAAATATTTAAAATAAAAAAATGATATTATTCTATAACACTCATACATATAAACCCAAGCCTATATATTTCAAGTATTCGAAACTTTCGAAAACAAAGGGTCCATTTTAATTTTAAACTTTCAGTTAATTTTAACCTATACAAGATCCATCAATCAAAATTAATGTACAAGTTAAAGTTACACTTATGACAGCATAAATCAATTTGACAAAGTTATTACACTGCACTAAGTTGTAAGTTGCTACATATTAATTAGGTTCAATGAAAGGCATAATGTCTCCATAGCGTGCAATATATGCATGCGAGCTTTCCAATATTGTATGTAGGCAATTACAAAATTGAAAGTAATCGACTTTAAAGTTTTATTAAGCCACTTTAAATAATTGTTGAAAAAATGCATGTCAGGGGGAAGCTAGTAAGTTTTATAAGTATAAATGACAAAAAATTGTAAACGCACTTAGCCAGCGTGGTGGACTATGGCCTGATCTGAAGGGACGCCCGTTTCCAGCAGTGGGACGTTAATAGGGTATAAGCCATTAATGTATTCAATACTAGCACTGCCCGCGGCTCCGCCCTCGTTCAGGTGACCAAAAACCAAATGCTTAGGTTTTACATATTTGTACACTCTTACATTGCAGTTTTTGTATTTTTTCTCAGAAATGAGATATTTTCCCGCGGTAAAAAGTATTCTATATGTTAACCCGTATAACCAGCTATCATCATACAAAATTTCATCAAAATCTATCCAGTGGTTTTCTCGTGATGCGGTAACAGACAGACAGACAGACAAAAATTCTAAAAACGATAGATTCGGACTCTGTATCGATAATAATGTCTATTTCAATAAGATTTTCCAAAAAATATTTAATGTACAGATTCGGCTTAGTTACAATTTTATTATATGTATAGATTAGTTTTTAGCTTCTGATACAAACAAAATAAATATCTTTTTGAAAGAATGTAAGGAACTTATAAAGTTTTCATATATACTTGCACAAACACAATTGATACCGTGAGACTTAAATCCAACAACTTCTACAACAAGTTTATTTTTACTTAATCTATAGCTTAAAAGTATGTTATTTTAACCCGAAAAGCAAGATAGATAATAAATCAATATTTAATTCTTTAAAATCATACGCAAAATCTCTTATGTTATATTAAGTATAGATTATTAAGTATAGTATACACTAAGAAATGTAATCAGTCGATTGTGATAACAACTTCGAAAGCTTAGCATATGCTTTGTAACATCACATTAATTTCCAATGAAAATAACCTCATAATTAACCCTTATTCCGAATTTGTCCGTTTAAGGGTTAAAATATGAGCTGTATCACTAATAAAGCTGTATCAATAATAAAATTGTTAATTATGGAACAAACAATATTACTAAGGAAAAAAGTTTCATATGCTTAAAACTAATTTTATAGCAGTAGCTAAAAATAAATAAATATGTTGGGACATTAACACACAGCACCATCTAGTTCCATGGTAAGCTACGAGACTTGTGTTATCGATACCAGATAGTTGATGCACTATATATATATATATATATATATATATATATATATATATATATATATATATATGTAACTTTAAATACATACATATTATAAATATGAATACCCATGACTGAAGTCCAAACGTTCATGCTAAACCCAAATAAATACCCGGCTCGAACCCGCAACCGCTGGCACAGCAAGTAGTGTCACTATAAACTGAGCTAAACGTGTCATCACAATATTATATAGCAATTAGAATTAACTATTTTACTAGTGGTTTATTATTTAAACCCACATTGTGCATGAACTAGTCCGTTGTATTTCTCTATACATGTGTTAAATAAACGCAAAAAACTAAGATGCTTTGCGTAAAGCAAAAGTTTCCGCTTCACAAAACAAAGTGAGGCAAATATATCAACAAAAACGAATACAATGAGAACAGGAAAGCTGTATTTTACATTGAAATTAAAGCTAGAACATTAATCATATTTTAGACGTTCGCATAAAATAGGCGGTTGAATATAAAATATAAAATCATAATGGATATTTTCGGTAGGTTTTTTTATAAATGTTTATTGATGTGATATTATAATTGAATACAGATATTAAATAATAATCAATCACATTTTAAAAACCTTAAACTTTTTGCTTGAGTAAATGAAGAAGGAGGCAGTAGTAGCCCAGTGGTAACGTGTTTGCTTGGGTAACCGAGTGAAGCGGGTTCAAATCCCGGGTCATGCACCTTTAATATTTTCAGGTGCGAATTGCTTCCAGCATGATTACCACTAATCTTACGGTAAAGGAAAACATCGTGAAGAATCCTGCACGTCTGAGAGAACCTAGCAAGTTTTCAACAGACATGTGAAGTCCGCCAACCCGCACTTGGCCAGCCAGATGGACTATGGCCTGATCCCTATCTATTGAAGGGAGGCCTGTGCCTAAGCCTCTCTTATGGGACGTTAAAACCGGCTGAATACATACAATACGTAATAGTAAAATTAAAAGATATAAGCTAGTTACTTTCATGCTATTTCAATAATATACTCGTAGTTTCTATTGGCACAAATGCACACTACGATTTTTTGAACGCTATCAGCTTTTCACCCCTTTGTATCAATATGAAAGCAAGTAATTTACATTTTTTCAGCACAGAGCAAACAGACTTGCGTTTATGAAACGCGCGTTGTTAGCGCTTTTTTGAAACCTGGTGTGCAACCTGGTGTGTGTTTTTAATATATTTACTCCTTAGATTTGTAACGGGATGTTAGACAGCATAATATAATAGATCTTTACTCATGAAGTTGCCGTTTCACAATACTGACCATTTGAAGCGTAATTTATGAATGGCCGGCAATAAATTCTAAATTCAAATGAATTTTATTTTAAACTAGCATTGCCCGCGGCTCCGCCCGCGTTCAGATTACCAAAAACAAAATTCTTAGGTTTCACATATTAGTATACATACTCTTACATTGCAGTTTTTATATTTTTTCTCAGATAACCAGCTATCGCCATACCAAATTTCATCAAAATCCCTCTAGTGGTTTTTCTGTGATGCGGTAACAGACAGACGACAGACAAAAATTCTAAAAACTATAGATTCGGCCTGTGTCTCGATAATAATGTTAATTTCAATAAGATTTTCCAAAAAATATTTAATGTACAGATTCGGCTTAGTTACAATTTTATTAAATATGTATAAAAGTATGGAGTTCGAGCGGTCTTTAAAATTCAGATGGTTACTTCTAAAGTCATAAACAATATATTTGTTAATAAAACAACTTATTACTTGCAACACCAGCTTATAATATAAATAGCATTTTTACTTTATTTCATAGTGAAAGCTCAAAGCATGATATATACGTTAGTAGCAGTAGTTACATGAAGGAGATGATGTATAGAAGTTTTAATTACGAGTGCAAAGTGCCCGCGGTACTGTGGTTGAGCGTTAGTGTGAGGAAACCCAGTTAATAAATTGTTAGGTACGAAAAATAAATATTATATTAAAATTTATTATTATTACTATATAATAAATAAATATTATGAAATACTTTTAAGCTTTTTAGATTGACATTAAAAAGAGCTCAGCTTTGGAAAGCTATATATATATATATATATATTAGTTTTACACCTGCTTTTAATAGATGCTTTGCCGGAAGTAATAATACATAATATTAAATATCTATAATAAAAAAGCGACATTTAGTGCGAACAAGGTAGGCTATAATGCTATATACGTTTGAATGTTTATTATACAATATTGTCCTTATTTATAAATGCCTTTCAACGTCTTCTTTAATCACTTAAGTAATGATTTTTATTACACTATATTCACAAAATCTGTCGAAAAATATTATTTTGGTGGTTTAAAGTCGAAACATATTTATAAGAAGGGTTAAATTTTAACTTTAAGAGAGTTACATTTTAACTTTTAAACTATCATTTTAATATGCACATATATAATAATACTACACGCAATATGTAAAAATCTGCATAAGATTACCTAGAGTCCTGTAGCCATAGATCCCTAGTGTCGATTGGTGGGAGTTCGGTTTCGGTTGAAGCAGCTGAGTGTTGAGGAGTACCTCCTCTAGGGCTGAGAAATCTTCTCCATGTACAACGACGTTCTGTATAAAAGTAACAGTAAAATTAGTAAAGTGGATAAATTTTCTTTATATACCTATTATGTATAATATATTATCCTTCCAGTACTTTTTTCGTGATACGTGGCAATACAGACGGACATCCAGACAAAAATTCTAAAAACTATACATTCGGCCTCTGTATCGATAATAATGACTATTTCAATAAGGTTTTCCAAAAAAATATTTAATGTACAGATTCGATTCAGTTAGAATTTTATTATTGAGATATTATTTTTGACATTGTTTTTCTTAAAATCTTTGGTGGTACATTCAAGATATAAGTAAATATAATAAATATATAAATCACATACATACAATTGTTTGACAATACGAGGACTGAAAAAAAACCATCTAAAAAGAAAATATGACCCTTTCAATAGACATGAAAGTCCTTGTGACTTGTCAAACATGGAAGCTTTTAACGGATTAGTTTGGATAGAAGTCCATTTGATTAGTGATGTTCTAAGAATAAACTAAGCTAAAAGTAGCATGAGCACTCTTTTATATCGAAGAGAGTATTAATATTATTTAATTAGACAAAATATGTTTGTTTATTAATTTTATTCTAACACTTTTTGTAAAATAACTAGATTTTACTATTCACTTATCTCTTGAGCTTTTTCTATATATCTATGTATTGTGCTGTTTTTTGTTGTAGGTCTATAGATAATTAAGAATTTTCTCTTTTTAAAAATTATAATTTAATACAGTTGAATGATCTTATTTTATCGACCAATCTCCTTCGTGTCTTCTCCGTTTTACTTGACATTGGAGAAGTAATCTGCGTTCAACTGGCATGCTTTAAAACCATTTACAAGAATATTGAATTGAATTGAATTAATTTTGTACTTATTATATATTATATACTAGATTCGTTTGTTTCTAGAATAACATTATTTATCACAATTAAATGTGATGAATTTAATTTCTTATAATACTAGTATTATAATTAACTACATAATACATATTATGTATATTACAATATACGTAATATGTACGTATATTTATGTATGTACCAAAATTTTATAAAAATGATTTTTAATAAATTAAAAATTTATAACGATACTAGCGACTTACCCTCTTAACGTTTAGTATAGATTTCTCAGAGATGAGATATTTTCCCGCAGTAAAAATTATCCTATACCAGGATAAATATTCAAAACCTGTCTAGTGGTTTTATCGTGATGCGTTTCCAGAAAGACAAAAAATCAAAAAACTATAGATTCGGCCTCTGTATCAATAATAATGACTATTTCAATAAGATTTTCCAAAATAAAAATTTAATGAACAGATTCGACTCGATGTATTAATAGATTTATTTTATTACATATTTACAACAATAAATGTATGAATTCTCATTAAAAGTTAAAACGTAGATTCTTCCTCTAAATTCATTTGATATTCTATAGCCACAAAGAGCATACGAAATAAAACGTTTTGCCTTTCACATCCAATATGGCTTTTATTGTCCAACTTTTCGATGCCACTTCTGAATTTTCTGATTAAAAAATTACTTTGTAACAGTAAAATCAACGCGATAAAGGTCGAATTGCTCAAGGATTAAAAGGTTATAATTAATATATTGTCTGCTGTTCATTGTTTTCTTTTGTCACTAAATACGTAAAAGAAAATGGATTCGAACTGATGATAAATAATTAATTTTACCTTTGTTGGCGATGAGAATATAATTTAGAAATAAATTTCTAAATTAAAATAGGTACTGGTATGAATATATAAAGCTACTACTAGTATACTTATGGTGTTTTGGCATACTTAATTTTAGTAGACCATTTTATTATTTACTAGCGATTTACCCTCGCTTCCCTCAGGTCTCTAGGTCGTACGATTTTGTTCACAATTTCATGGATTTTCATTTTTTTGTGCAGAACGTTTTTTTTTCTAAAATAAAAGTAGCCTGAGTTACTCCTTAAAAGTTTTAGAAAGCCTTGTCAAAATCGGTCCAGCGGTTTCGGAGATTAGCCGGAACAAACAGATCGACAGAGAGAAAAAAAGAAGAAAATTAAAAATTGTTTATTTTTCTTATTAGTATATATGCATGTATATAGTACCGTATACACTTTCATATGCATTTAGTAAAAAGCTGTTATTTTGACATTACAAAAGGATACTTCAATTTTATTTATCTGTATAGATTAAATAGCTACCGAAATTCTTTGATATGATTTTACTTCTAAATGTATAAGATAATATATAAATAAAAACAAAACTTATGTTTATTTTGTCATCATGTTTATGTATCTAGTGTTCTCTCAGAGGTCGAAGTTCGACGTTTTTATTTTTTTATTGATAACGCTAAAGGTCATCGATACCTACTAGTCATAATAAAACGACATGACAACTTATAAATATTTTTTTACTTTGAAAATATGTATAATTTATTATATATATATATATATATATATATATATATATATATATATATATATATATATATCTTTGTTTATTTAGATCGTATATCCATACTTTAATGTTATAAATGTGAAAGTGTATTTGTTTGTTTGTCTTTCTTTCACGTCGAAACGGATTGACGGATTGGCGTCATTTTTTGTGTGGAGATAGTTGGAGGGCTGAAGAGTGACATAGACTTACTACTGCTACTTTTTACCGCGGGAGATTATCTAATTCCCACGGGAAAACACGTTATAGTACAATCCATTAAAATAAATTGATCAGAATTACTTGAAACTTGGTATTAATGCTCTCCAGTAAAACCAAATAAATACGTGATTTAGCATTTTTCGAAATTCATCCTATAAGAGGGTGAATTAGGGGATGAAAGTATGTATAAAACTACCTTTTAAAAGATTTTTCGTAGTTTTAGCGCGAGTGAAACCGCGGGTTCTGCTAGTCTAATATATAAATATCTGGTGTCGCGGTATTTATGGTCGCACGCACGGTATGAGAATAGGTCGTAAAGTATTTTTCATTCTCCTACCCCCACCCCCCATTTTTTAATCGTGATTTAATATTTTTGTGTGAACAATATCCAAATAATTTAATATTATATAAATACATACATAGACATGAACCCGATCGAAGCGAAGGTGAGTCGCTCTATAACATAAAGCAAAACATTTAATTTTTGTAGATTGAATGCGGGCAAAGCCGCGGGTTCTGCTAGTAATATATAATAATGTGTTTGATAGTTTTTAAAATATGTATACGGCTATATACTAGCTATTATCTGAAAAATAAAGGCTTCTGAGAAGGTCTTGCATTTACAAACTGACAAATAAATAAATAATATTGGTATTTTAATATAAAAAGAAAACGAATTAAAAATGAAAACGGGCTTTAATAATAATAATTTCACTCAATTTCGTGTTTCAATTTAATATTTATTTTTTTTTTATATTTATTTTAGATTAATGTTTGCTTAAGAAAATAAAATATAGACTTAAGATTACTCTAATGGTTTTCCTTTACGTAATTTTATATTTTAGACGGCGGGAAGGCAAAAAATTATAACATGCGTTTTAAAATACGAAATCGAAAATGTTATTAGAGCTTTCAAGCCTTGATTAAAATCTCGGCTTGAAATGATCAAACGTTTAGAAAATATGTTTTGCTATACAAATATTTTTCAATCTCACATGCTATATTTACATACTAGCGACTCACCCTCGCTCCGCTCGGGTTCGTGCCTATTTACGTTTTAACGTTTAGTATAGAATTTTCAGAGTTGAGATATTTTCTCGCAGTAAAAAGATAATCAGCTATCATCATACCAAATTTCATCAAAATCTTTTATCAAAAAAAAAAACTCGTGATGCGGTCACAGATATACAGACAGATAAGACAGACAAAATCTCTAAAAACTATAGATTTGGCCTCTATATCGATAATAATGACTATTTCAATAAGATTTTCAAAAAAATATTTAATGTACGGATTTGACTCAGTTAGAATTTTATTATATGTATATTGTTGTAAATGTAACATAATATGATAAACCATATTTAAAGAATTTTCCTATTCTGAATACATAAAAGGAGTGAACCGCAAGACAAAAGGGGAATATGCGTGTGATTTAAACAAAGATGTAATTTTTTTTAAATCTTAATTGCTTCTAAATTAAACCTATATTAATTTTTTTTATGTAATTTCTTTTTCATTAAGAAAAAATATATTGAACAGAACAAAAATAAGTGGAAAATCAAAGTAGTTGAAACGCACCGCCATTGGTCAGACCAAAAGTGACGTCAAAGTCTACTAGAATACTAATACTACTCAATACTAGATCGCTGTTGTTTGGTGCATGACTAGTGTACAAACATTTATGTTCATCACACAAATGAATGCCCCAAGCTGAACTCGAACCCGCAACAGCTGGCACATCTAGTAGGGTCGCTACAAAGTGAGCCAAACGTGTAGTAAATAATATAAAGGTACATTTACAAGTTAAATCGTCATTTGAACACAGAAGTGTCAGTTACTATTTCATGAAAATTCTGCAAATATTAAATGTCTACGAGTTTGAATAACATCATTTTGATAGTTAATTATAATTTTATTGAAATACAAACAAGATAAAGCTTTTCGTTTTAATATTTCTCTCTGTCATAAAAATATAAACGTATTTAATGATAAAGAAACTCTTAAAGCTTTTACTAAATTTTTATAACTATACTAGCATTGCCCGCGGCTCCGCCCGCGTTCAGATGACCAAAAACCAAATTCTAAGGTTTTACATATTGCAGTTTTTGTATTATTTCTCAAAAATGAGATATTTTCCCGCGGTAAAAAGTATACTATATGTTGACCCGGATAACCAGCTATCACCATACCAAATTTCATCAAAATCCCTCCACTGATTTTTCTGTGATGCGGTAACAGACAGGCACACAAACAAAAATTCTAAAAACTATAGATTTGGCCTCTGTATCGATAATAATGTTAATTTCAATAAGATTTTCCAAAAAATATTTAATATACAGATTCGGCTTAGTTACAATTTTATTATATGTACCTATAGATTAGCGTCTAGACATAATGAATTTAACTCTAATACAATTGTATTTTTATGTTTACTTTCCGACAATAATATTAACTGCCTCGGTTGCTTAGATTCTAATAGCAAGTTTGTACGGAAGCAGATCTGGAAGTCGTGGGTTGGAGCCGGGTCGGGCCAAGTTTAATTATTGAGTTTTTCTGTTGAAACATTATCAATAGTAGCCTGGAATTTAGTTAAATATATCGATCTCTTACCGGGAGTGTCGAAGTATCGTCACATCGGACTTTGAAATAAAAAGGTGTAAGATGTGAAATAGAGAGTGCATTTATGTTTGCGCGAACACTTGTGTTATATCTCCAGTTGGCTAGTATGAATGAAACGCCCCCCCCCCCCAACGTGCGTTCACCTTGTCGTGGTGGGGGGGCTCAGTAGTGCCCGGCAACCTAACCGGGCGCGAAGCCAAGAAACGCACAGGGAGGTGGCCTACTTCGGTGGGCGGTGGGAGGTGGCCCTCTTCGGAGGGCGGTGTACCATGCGGGTTGCTCCTGGTACTTGTCTGATAGCAGAGTGGACCTTGGAGCAACCCCATGGTTGTGGTGGTCTGCTTCGGCAAACCTGCCGTCGGGGCGTCGTAGTTGAATGCGTAAGCGATCCTGCGACGCCCCATTAAGACGGGGGAAGGTTTTGTTGGGTTTTAGTGGGTAGTACTGGCTTCGCCGGTGAGTCCCACACCTCATGCGTAAATCCATTTCCCAACGTTACAAAAAGAAATCCCAATGGCCGCCGTGGCCGAAATGGGTCAGGAGGAAGTCATACGACAGCAATATATATATATATATATATATATATATATATATATATATATATATATATATATATATATATTAGTCATTATAAGAATTAGTTTTTTTTTTTCTAATTTTAAATATTCCATATATGGTAGTTGTCCTTTTTGAAGTCGGTCAACCACTGGTCAATTCAAATTAAGTTAATTATATTACAGTTCTTTTTCAGTTACGTCTCTGAAATTGTTCTATTCAACTTACTTTTAACGCTAACATTTTAAAATATAACAATGTTTTAGTTTTTGTTTTTCCTGGCTTTATTTTGTTTTTATTTTGTATAAAATATTATACAAATAAATATTAAACATAAGTAATATAAAGTAACTTTTTCCTCAATTTTAAGTTTAAAATATACGATTTTTCCCTGAATGCATTTTCAACGTAAAGACCGCAATAAATCTTTATTCTAAATTCGCTCCAGTCAAACATCCTAACTGCCGTTGAGAGTTACTGGCTCGTTTTGTTGAAGATAAAAATTCTACAATTTTACCTTTCAACCTTAAAATTTGTATACTAACATTTCATAGTTAGTTTTGGTTTAAATTTCGACAGTATTTATCTATACATATAATAACATTCTAACTAAGTCTGTCTGTCTAGGAATGAATTACGAGAAAATAACTGGACAGATTTTTATGAAGTTTGGCATGATGATAGCTGGTTTTCCGGGTTAACATATAGGATAATTTTTACTGCAAGAAAATATCTCATTTTTGAGAAATCTATACTAACAGTTAAAACGTACATTAGGCAACCGTGCGGAGCGAGGATGAGTGGCTAGTCATAACGTGAAAAAGTACGCTCAAAAGTATTCAATAATTTCTCATATAAGTTAATTAATGTATTGTAATTCTTTTGAGAAATAAATTCTATACACCCATGTATGTTGGTATGTCATACTGAACTTCTTCTCCCTGTCCATTTCCCAATCACTTGGGGTCGGCGCAGTACATCTTCTGTACTGCTGAAAGAATTAGGCAAAAGTTTTACGACCGGCCACCCGCCTGACGTCAACCCTCCTTGGGAATGCTATTGTCTCTCTTTGTCTGAATGGTATCGCGGAAGTCTTATAATATGCACCTTCGATTTTGTTGTCTTTTAAATCATTTTTTATAATATTACTTAAATTTTGAATGTTATTTTCGGATATATTTTGAAATAAACTTGTATTTTGAAATAAATAAATAAAAAAATTAAATGTCATACTGAACGTAACCACTAATTATGATTATAAATTAAGCCGAAAACAATAGCCATTCATATAAATACCGATAGGTATCGCACCAAGCCAGCCAGCAGCCCATCCTTGTCCGAGTCCTTTTCTTTGGCGCGCAAGAAGCTGCACTGTCAACGCGTATGTCAACAGCATCACACCAAGAGGTATGTAGAAAGAGATAACCGATCCGATGGCTTTGTACAACGGATCGGGTATCTGACAGGAACCACCGATCAGGACTGATTCTTCGTTCTGTGAATGAAAATTATGATTAATTATGGAGTCTAACAGAATTAACTTTTTAATTATTTTTTTTTAATATTTATTTTTAAATTCTTTAAATAATTCAGAGTAAGATTTAAAAAAAAGGTCTTAGGTCCTGCTCTATGCTTTTTTATGTATGTTACACGATATTTTGATCAATTGTGAATTTTTAGTCCCCGACGCAAATAGAGTGTTTTAAGTCTGATCCCAAGTCGGCGACTTCCCGACACATAGGTATTATTTTATTTAGTGATTTACACTTTAATTTCTTTAATGGCAATGAATTGGGAGCATTATTTGTAATTTTTTAATTTTTTATTTTAATCCATAAAAAAAGATAAAAATTGACCCCAAGCCTTATTCGACGGCTAGCAGCGTTCGTATGATATATATCTGGATATAGATATATATGGGTATAGGGTTATATAGAGTTCGTAGATTCCATAGGGAGAAAAAAGTCCTTCATCCCCTATGTAAAATGGCTCTTGAAGCGGAGCAAGGATAACACGAAGGGTGGAAGCTTAATACAATATCAGTTTACACAAGAATATTCGGGTGCTTTTTATTACTTGTAAACTGATACCATTCTAAAATTAGATATTTTTTATATTTTTTTTAGAAAGCTCGCAAAAGCTTTTTAACAAACAATTTATCCTAAGCACAGGCATTATTTGTACTGTACATTGCATTCAAACGTTTACTTTGACGTCATCGAGACTGGTTAGTTATTCAGACCTTGACGTAGAAGGATATCGTCGTTGATACTGCAATATCGCGTAACCAACAGTGGCTAAAACCGCGTAACTTGGTAGTGATAAATTTTACAGTAGAGAGAAAAAACTTAATATTTTCATTATTACTGCATCTTTGGCCGACTGAACTGTAAAATGTATTTAAATTTATGTATTTTATTTTCTATTAGGGTTTTTAAGTTGTTAAATTCACTATTCGATTAAAAAATACACTTTCTCGGTATTGCATGTTCAAAAATGGGTCGCAGTTGAGCATTTTTAGTAGTTACGCGTAATTACAAAAAGCATGAAAATAAAAATTTTGTATTTTAAGAATCATTTATTACTTAAGTTTACTTAATTGAATAATAATTATTATATCTCAGAAAATCGGTCTCAAAATGTCAATCGTTTTGCCTACAATTTTACTAACTTAAAAAGTAGAACAAGTAAAACAAACATACAAATAAACTGTAGAAACAAAAATCAAAAACTTAAATTATTAAACTCCAGAAACAAAAATTAAACTATATCAAAATCCAGTAACATCAATTATAATAGGAACTTCAATATAAACGAGATCTAATATTTTGAAATAGAAACTTGCTTATTTTTTTTTAAACGGTAAGCTATCATAATATTGGTGGCAGTCACTAGGAATCACACTCTTTAATTGCTGTAAATGCTCATATTTACTCTCTAATATTGACAATCTAGAAGAATAAAGAAATGGTACATCGTTTATCAATGTTGAAATATTCTTTGGTCTTCGAGGTAGTGGACTAAATTCGTCTTCAAAATGTTTTTTAAAGTCGATAGTACCATTAGGATTATACTTTAATACGCGTAGATCTACTACACGGTTATCGCCAGAAATGCGCCCAGGCCTTATAGAGTCATAAATTTGGTACTCTTTGACGCTGTAGTCTTTGAAAAAGGTATGATCTGGTTGTATAACTTTATAAGGAAAAGGTTTTTTTCTGGCCTCTTTAGTTAAAGAAGCATACTGTGATGGCAAGAAAATTTCAATATTTTTGAGTTTTCTTTCAATAAGTGAATGGACCGAATCTACCTCCATTTGTGTATGTCCTTTTTCGAGGTATTTTTGTGTAATTGTAACATTTTTGTCCATTGCTAGTCTAAGAAGAGCGTTAGAAACAACAGTGTTTCTGTTTTGAGCAGTGCATCCGTCAGTCCATATAACTACATCTTTAAGATTTTCATTTAACAAGTTTGTCAGATAATCTACAAAAAACGAGGCATAGGTTGTAGCTTTTAGATCACAGGTTGTTTCATTAAACCAATAACACGTAACATCATCTGTACCTAGATTATAAATAGTGAAGTTATGTACCGCTAACTTGGTCTTAAAATATAGCGCACTAGCCGATAGAGAAGGACACAGTTTTACAGCTTGCAAATCAGCAGTTATGGTATGAACTTGCCCAAGTTTTGCAAGTTCTTTGTCTTTTGTCTTTTCGGATTGAGCTAAGTTTTTCAGCTGGACGTGGCGGTGGTAATCTTCCTCCCGAACGTTACCTGCCTTGTATGAACAGCAATAGTCACAAGCATCTTTTTTAGGTTGAAACAAGGCGATATTTTGCTCCACAAGTATGTCAAAAAAGAGCTTTCTAGAAGCTACTAGCTTAGATGCTGAGGAGGAATATTCGACATATAAGTTATACAATTGTGACTTGGATTGTATAATAGGTTCCACGTATTGTTTTGTGCTTGTTTGGCGGCAATAATGTGACGGCAATTTGGGCAATAAGCTCAGGTAACTTTTTACAGAATTTCGTTTAGAAGTAGGCGATGTTGGAGACAAATTTGTGTGAACAGAATTATCATCTGCTCTTCCACATAGCCAGTAGCGAACAGTCCACTCCTTTATAGCTAGTGTCGCCAGAAATGTTTTCAAACAAACTCTTTCCTTCTTACCATGTATTTGCAGGTAATATAATCTTGTTTCCGACCGTCTAGATTTACTTTCTGTCGTCTTCCTTTTTATATTTTCTGTGTCAACCATCAACCGTACATACATTTTTTTCTCTTTCCACGTCATGCTCCAGAAACGTTCAAAAATCTGTTGTCGTATGTCCTCAGTCAAATTGGAACAAAATAGAACTTTACTACGAGCACAAAATGACGAACTGCACTTAGGGCCCATAGCCCTCTGAGGTTTTGATCCTTTTTGAATATACTTATTATTAACTTTTCTAAACCCAACATATGCTTTTCCTAACATCCTATCTTTCTTGTTTAACTCTCTCCTCCAAGTTTTACGGTCAGCCTTTTGTTTTCGTTTTCTTGACTCTTTTGCTGCATCTCCCTCTAAATTTTGTTCCGGAAATGAATCAAAATCATCAGATACCATAGGCTCTACGTTGGTGATATCAGATAGCGGTACAAAGTCTGGATCGGCGATAGAATTATCAGGAGAGAAATCCATAACAGTTTCTTCGGTAACATCAGTATATGTTATGACAGGGTCATTAGAACAGCCGACAGTTTCTTCTGCAACGTCCGGTGAAACAGTGGCTGAAATGCTGGGACAAATAGGTTGAAAGATAGTCGTTAAGGTATCACAATTAGCTATATCATAATCAATATCTGAAGATACGCATATAGGTGAAGCTGGAAATTTAGGTTGAGATGAACCCAAAATTGTGGATAGATTTCGAGAAAGGGGTTTGTTTAAAATGTTTTGTCTTTTAAGAAGAAGTTCCTGGCGTCGTTTTTGAAGATCCTTTAATGTCACAACTTTTATGTTGGAATTAGAATCTATTTCTGGCTGCATCTGCAAGAGCTCTGCTTCGTTTGCATCCCATTTTTTTTCCATGATTATCTGAAAAAAAATTAGCCACTTATTTGAAACTTTTACATAAATATAATTTGATTTAGGTCAAATAAAAACTACATTCGTATTTAGTTATGTTGATCATATCTTTACCACATTAGTTCCATTAATTATTATTTTTTTAAATACTATTAATTTTAATGTCAACCCCGCGTAAATACATAAAAAATAAAATACAGATAACGAAAATACCGCGTATCTACCGTCCAAATTTTACAGACGTTATTCTTAAATAATATTACAATCTTGAAAATACCAGTACTTTCAGTGAATAACTAACTTATTTATCAACCAAAAATTAACATTTACTTACCCGCAAGTCCAATATTTCTTCAAAATAACATTTATATTCACGAACCGCAAACAAAACGACCATTCGTTCTATAACATGTGGCGCAGGTACGCGGTATTAAAGTTACACTCTCGTGCGAGAGCTGCTCTCGCGGTTTTGGCTAGTGTCGTTTCTAGCGTTTTGAGTGGATAATTCACTCACCTGACGACACGGGGCGAAGCCAATCACTATCAAGAGCATATATGCGCGAAATCTCAATTTTGATTTTTTTGTAGTTCCGCGGTATTGGCCACTGTTGGTTCCGCGGTATTGCAGTATCAACGACGATATCAAAACAATTGTTATCCGCATAAAACGTCATTTTATTGATTTTTTAACTACATTCTATTAGTATATAAGCTCGATAGTGCTATGTTTGTATCCGAGTATAATATACGTATTATTTCTACTTATTAATAAGCTTGAAATGTGTGTGTGTAAATTAACTCAAAATTGAATCCAAATCAAAATATACTATGTTCAAATAAACCTTTACAACACTTCTGGATATTGAATTTTTATTTTTTTAAAGTTTAATTTTAAATATCAGTATGTAAGTCCGTAAGGGAGCTACCACCGGCTCGGAAGGCAGTTGTGCCGAGAGGAGTTGGCGAGAAACTTATGAGTAATATCACAATATTTGCCCTTTATTGAGTTCTAATGATTATTATTAAGATTCATGATACTAAAGTGCCACACATACAATCCACAATAGCAAAGCGGAACATGCTCACCGCCAAAATGTGCATGATGTCGGACTTTATATACAGTTTTGAATTAAATAATCAGTTCGGATTTTTTCGCGGATTTTTTGATGTTTGGTTCACGACATTTCGACTGCTTTACAGCAATCATGGTCATGGAACAGATTTATATACTATCTAAGTTTAAGTTTTTAAATACCCGAATAAGCCATCGATTGATAGTTTTAGTCTGCCGTCTGTTTCTATAGACTCTTGTTCTTTCCTTTCTTCTTCCTCGGTACTCTCCGAGAATAGTTTATCATGTGTAAAAGTGCTAGGTGTCACTATTCACTTTAATATGTACAATATTAAAGTCGCTGCAACAGCAGGCGCGTTATAAAAAGTACTTAAAAATACATTTCTTTGAATACGACAAACAAAAAAATTAGAAATTTCAACATAATAATATGAAAAACAAATGTAACAACAGAAATAAATATTCGCTATATTACGCTGGCTATGAATATTTAAAGGTAGTTAGTATCCAATACATTCAGTCAGGCTTTGAATAAATCATTACTACCTCTAGGCTATTGTAATTCTAAGGAAATCTATATGTATATAATACATGATAGATGAAGCTGAAATATTAGGTATAGCTTTTGCCTGCATCTCCACTCGATAATCGAAACGATAATAAGTATAAAGTTGACCTATAAAAAAGAACCTATAAAAGTATCCATTTCTCTCGTCTTGTTAACTTAGGTCTATTTAAATCTGTTCTGTGGTTCTAGCATGAGAAGGCAAGGAACAGGCAGATTTTGAAATTTGTATTAATGAATACAAATAATAAACTTGTTTTTTTAATATAATTGGCAATTTCGTGAACAAGCAAAAGAAAATTGTACGTTTTAACGGTTAGTATGGAATAATAGACTATATATTATATAGGTATGAAATAAACAGTCTGAACTTTTCCAATTTCCCTATTTTTTTATACTTAAACCACCCCTGACACACCCGTAACAAAACAAAAAAAAAAGAATTATTCAAATTGATCCAGCCGTTTTTGAGTTTTAGTGAAACTAACGAACGGCAATTAATTTTATGAAAATATATAGATATAGGTAATGACGTAATTTGGGCGGTCCGTTTTACTTAATTTCTTAAAACCAGACACGATTTAGAGGTATTCTAGTACTCTATCTTCGCACCTATTTCCTAGAACTGATGTTAAAAACTCTTCTAACAAAGAAATAAAATAAAAAGCTTTATTTCTGACACTTTTATTTGCAAAAATATAACCTTATTTCTCTACCATTTACATCAATCATTGTACAGAACAGGTTTCATGGTTTAATATCAAAGTGTTGACAGCAATTTAATTAAAGCTATCATTGTTATTCAGTGTGCACCGTTGTATTTTATGCTTGATCATCTTTATCGGTAAACGAACGTTAACAATGGTTTTGCCGTTCAAAGTAGCACATACACAGACTTATATACATACTAGCGACTCACCCTAGCTCCGCTTGGGTTCGTCCCTAGTTATATTTTAACGTTTAGATTTCTTAGAAATGAGATATTTCCCTGCGGTAAAAAGTATCCTATATGTTGACCTAGATAACCAGCTATCATCGTCCTCATCAAAATCTGTCCAGTGGTTTTCTCGGGACTATTTATAACAGTTCCCAGACAGACCGACAGCAGACAAAAAACTATAGATTTTGCCTACGTATTGATAATAATGACAATTTCAATAATATTTTCCAAAAAATATTTAATGTACAGATTCGACTCAGTTCGAATTTTATTATATGTATATATATATATAGATAAATTACATTCGAATTGTGCCTGTTTTATTATATAGATAAATATTTCTATACCTGTTGTAGATATCGAATAATAGGTTAATGAAGTTTCATAGCAATTGAATAAATAGTATAGGTAGTAAAGACAGAAAATATCTTTTTCGATATTTTCTAATAGTCATAATCTAAGAGTTTATTTAAAAATGTCACATATTCGCGTTTTAAGAAAGTGTTATATAGGAATGCATACGATACAGTTACTTGGTAATTTAAAGTTATGTATGTAATTCAGCCCTTTTTATCTTCCACTTAGAACGAGCTTATTTTCAATATTAGAAGCATTTCGCCTTTGACGATCATTAACAAAAATGGAGACTGGCAGATTTCAGATGTCTTTCAAAACTAGTTATATTCTCTCGGACATACAGAATTCCTCACGGTGTCTTCATTTTCATCATATTAGCAATCATGTAGAAAAGGATTCGTTTATTAAAATCTAAAAGGCGCAAGACCCGGTTTTATACCCACTTCACTTGGCTTTCCAAGCGAGTGAGTTTTTTTATCTACTGCTACTTTAACAGTTTAAAAGATAAGACTTAGAAATTGGACAACGGCTTATTCTGTTGTTAAATTATTCGAGTTAGCGCCCAAATCACATCCAAATCTTGTTATAAAAATATTCAGAAATACATATTATATAGGTATTTTTTTATTTGACCAACAGTGTACTTGAAAGAGAAAGTTTAATTAGAAACTTTTATTTTTACAGCTCCAATTTATTAGATGTGCATAAAAATTTACCTGTGAAGTTACCTTGCGCAAAAGTTCATGGTCACATTCAAATATACTGTGCCTATTATTAAAAATAAGAAAATTAGAAGTTTTAAATCTCGCTCGACTAATAATATCGGTATAAAATATTATTACCTTTGAAATTATAAATCTTTTGAATAATATCATAAGCCAAAAAATATATATATTTAAACTAGCATTGCCCGCGGCTCCGCCCGCGTTCAGATGACCAAAAACTAAATTCTTTGGTTTTACATATAAATATACTCTTACATTGCAGTTTTTGTATTTTTTTCAGAAATGAGGCATTTTCCCGCTGTAAAAAGTATTCTATATGTTGACGCGGATAACGAGCTATCACCATATCAAATTTCATCAAAATCCCTCCAGTGGTTTTTCTGTGATGCGGTAACAGACAGACAAAAATTCTAAAAACTAGATTCGGCCTCTGTATCGATAATAATGTTTATTTCAATAAGATTTTCCAAAAAATATTTAATGTACAGATTCGGCTTAGTTACAATTTTATTATATGCATAGATTATTAAAGAAACATGCTTTATTTTATGAAAATTGGAACCCTTTAAGTATCGCTCACCTGTTCTCACACACTTGCTCTCTGTGTCATCTGACTTGAGTATAGTAAAAGTTTAGCGCAGTCTCAGTGCTGCTCGAGATTTCGGTCTTTAGCAGCATTAACTGAGTTATTTATTACCTTTTGCCATAAGTTACTTTAAGCTTTACTGATTCTGTTAACTTTTTTTACTCTTTTTATGGCAATAAATTTTTTATTTATTTATATATATATATATATACACGAGTATGTATATATTTAAAAACGTGTGCGTCTCGGGATGCCCAACAGAAGTGATGACTTAAACTAATCTAAGTTGAACTGTATAATATTGAATTTAATTTGAGAAAAGATTAGTTTATTACTTTTTTATGTATATTAATATGAATGTCTGTCCGAAATACGGCTAGCGCTGTGGGTTAGAGTGAGAGAGTAGAAGCCTGCCTGTCGCTGCCGTATGCGGGAGAGAAAGATGCCAGACAGGCTGGCGCCGTAACGCGTTATGTAACAAAGCAGTTTACCCTCCCATAAGAAGTCATCACTTCAAAAGTTTTCCTATACCTCACCTTAATATTTGTACAGTTAAATCTCTTTGTCTATACTAGTATTCGTTCAGCGGCTGAAATATAACCATAAAACTTGTTAAAAACTAATAAACAAAAAAAAAAAGAAAATCCGTTGACAAACAGAAGAAAAAAAAATACTGAACTGTTTACATATGCTTATTTATATATAGATTGTTATTTAAATGGAAGTGTCAAGAGATGTTTGTTTGTAGATCACTTTAGTCACTTATTGATCAGGCGTTGTGGGAATATAATTATTTATTAAAAGGTCCCCGTGCGTTGTTTATAGAGAAGATATTACTTTAAGGATTAATGAATCTTGTTGCAGTTTATAATGTTGTTTTAATTTTCCTTCGAGTTACGACGAAGTACCTTACGTAATGTTCGGCCAGTGGTCTAATTCGAGTATAATAATTATATAAAAATCATCTTAATGCATTCTTCTGTGCGTGTGTTTGTCACCTTACCCCTCCTAAAGGGCTGGACCAATTTGGATAAAATTCTGTGTGTATATTTCATTGAGCTCATGGATGGTTTGAAAGCACAATTAGACCCGGCAGATGGCGCTGCTGTCAGTGTATCAAAGAGTTTGTTTTTTTAGTAGTTTAAACGCGGG